CCCCTTTCCCTCCCGCCCCCCCCCCCCCCCCCCGGGGAAAAAAACTTTACCTTGAAGTCGTTCCCGCTGAGATCCACCCCCCTGATGAAGGGAAGGACCCCCGTGGCAGCCATCCCGCCGCCTCCTGGGCTCCCCCAAACCGGAGCGACCGAGTGCGCCTCCCGCGGACGCGCCGATTCTCTGGTGCAAATGCTTTTTTTGGCACCGCTGACACAGCCCGGGAAGGAGGAGAGAAAAAATCCGGGTGGGGCTTCTGTCTTTTTTTTTAATCTTGCACGCTGCAAGCAAACTTGCTCTCCGGCGCCGCCCGCCTCCTTTTAACCCTTTGGCGGGCGCCTGCCGCTGCCGGAGCATGGCTTTGGAAGAGGAGGAGGAGGAGGAGATTGGATTCATACCCCGCCCTTCACTCGGAGTCTCAGGGCGACTCCTTCCCCTTCCCCTCCCCACAACAGACACGGTGGGGCTGAGAGAACTGCTCTTGAGAGGAGAGCCCTGAGAGAAGTGACTGACCCAAGGTCACCCAGCTGGCTGCATGTGGAGGAGGAGTCGGGAATAGACAAATCATTTCTAAAATATATATATATGGTATCAGATTGATCTAATTTCTGTGCACTGAGGACAAGCAAGTCCTAGGTTACAAACTGAACTCTCCAATGCAAGAACAAGATGCATTTCTTCCTTTAGGAGGTGCGATTGTCAGAAGAAAATAAAAAAGTTTCAGTTTTGTTTTTGCATGTGGGTGGGTATTCTGTTTGTAATAATTGTTTGGATACACTATATTTTTAATATGCTAGTTGTGATAATTTCATGCCAAGTAAACATGTCCATAGTCATATTTTATGTTCCTAAAGTAACAGAATGACTTTCAATCTAGAAAAGACAAAAGAAATGCTAATGTAGCATTTTTTTCAATTTTTCCGAAAATTTCCGTTTCCCCCCGAAAAAACCCAGGTTTTTTCCCGAGCTTCAAAATTTCCGGAAATTTTACATCTCTAGACTTGGGAATCAAACCCGGTTCTCCCAGATTACAATCTGCGCTCCTAATCACTACACCAAACTGGCTCTCAAGAGTTGGATTTATACCCCGCTCTTCACTTGGGAGTCTCAGAGTGGTTTACAGACTCCTTCCTCGTCCCCTCCTCACAACAGACACCCTGTGAGGTCGGTGGGGCTGAGAAAGCTCTTTGGAGAACTGCTCTTGAGAGAACTTGTGACTTACCCAAGGTCACACCAACTGGCTGCATGTGGAGGAGTGGGGAATCAAACCCGGTTCTTCCCAGGTTTGAGTCTGCGCTCCTAACCACCACCACACCAAACTGGCTCTCGTATCGATAGTTCCAGAGGGCCTTGAGAGAACAGCTCCGAGAGAACTTGTGTCTGACCCAAGGTCACCCAGCTGGCTGTATGTGAAGGAGGGGGGAATCAAATCTCTCCCAGATTAGAATCTGCGTACTTAACCACGACACCAAACTGGTTCTTTGCACATGGCGGCTGCAGGGGACCGATGAGAATCTCAGGGTAGTTTAATGCAGAGCAATTTGCCACAGTCGTCCTCCGTCACCCTACATTGGGGCTCAGTGCTAGGCACTGCTGGGGAAGGGTTGGTTCAGGCCACTGGAGTAGATTGTAGGGTTGCCAGCCTCCTGGTGGGGCCTGGAGACACCCCCCCGGAATGACAACTGCTCTGGATGCCAGTCCTCCAGGTGGGACCTGGGGATCCTCTGGAATTACAGCTCACTTCCAGACGACAGAGATCAGTTCCCCTGGGGGAAAATGGCTGCTTTGGAGGGTGGACTCTGTGGCCTTGTACCCCACTGAGGTCCCTGTCCTCCCCAGGCTCTGGCCCCAAACCTCCAGGAGTTTCCCGACCTCGATCTGGCAACCCTACGTTCTCATGGAGGAAAGGGCTACTCTGGAGGATGGATTGTAGGACGTTAGAAAAAGAAGAGATTGGATTTATACCCCGCCCTTCACTTGGGAGTCTCAGAGCGGCTTACAAACTCCTTTCCCTTCTCCTCCCCACAACAGACACCCCCTGTGAGGTGGGTGGGGCTGAGAGAACTCTGACACAAACTGCTCTTTCAGGAACAGCTGTGCCAGAGCTTGTGACTGACCCAAGGTCACATCAGCAGGTGCAAGTGGAGGAGTGGCGAATCAAACCCGGTTCTCCCAGATTAGAGTCTGCACACTTAACCACTACACCCTGCTGAGGCTCCTCCCTTCCCACCAAATCTCCAGGAACGTCCCCCAACCCAGAGTTGGCAAGTTCAGCTTGACTTGTGAAACTCCCAGCCACAAGACAGTTCTTACCAGGTTTAGGGAGGTCCGCTTTGGGGTCAGGAAGGACTTCTCCTCCAGGCTGGATTGGTCTAGGGATCCTGGAGGGTTGTTTTATTGTTGTTGTTGTTGTTGTTTTTGCCTTCCTCTGGGCATAGAGCAGGGGTTGCTGGCGGACTGAATGCCCTGCATTGTACAGGGGGCTGGACTAGATGACCCTTGGGGGTACCACCCAGCTCTGTGTTTCTATGGTTAGCCAGGATAGCGAAATGGGGGCTGATTCCCTACCTCTGTGACATACGGGGGAGAGGTCAGCGGAACAGAGCTGTTGCCAGCAATGCCATTGGGGGGGGCACATCTGGTTGGGTTGCCTCTCACTGCTGGAAACAGGGTAAGGTGTTCTGTGGACCACCGGTCTGATCCTGCAGGGCTATTATGGGATGCTTGTGCGGGGAAAAGGTGGAGGGGGGTAGCCCCACCTTGTCCCTCTCTTGCAAAAGAGAGTGCAAAAGACAAGAGTTTGAAAGGCCTGTATCTTCCGAGCCACACTTCTGTCATCTGGATTAATGCAGTGTAAATCAAATATTCCCAGTAGTCATGTATGGCTGCGAGAGTTGGACTATAAGGAAGGCCGAGCGCCGAAGAATAGATTCTTTTGAATTATGGTGCTGGAGAAGACTCTTGAGAGTCCCTTGGACTGCAAAGAGATCAAATCAGTCAGTCCTAAAAGAAATCAACCCTGACTGTTCCCTGGAAGGCCAGATAATGAAACTGAAGCTCAAATACTTTGGCCACCAAATGAGAAGGGAGCCCTCACTGGAGAAGACCCTGATGCTGGGAAAGATTGAAGGTCAAAGAAGACGGGGACGGCAAAGGATGAGATGGTTGGACAGTGTCACCAATACAACGAACATGGAATTGAGCCAACTTCAGAGGACGGTGGAAGACAGGAAGGCCTGGCGTGATGTGGTCCATGAGGTTGTGAAGAGTCAGACTCAACTGTGCGACTGAACAACAACAAATCAAATATAGGTCTTTGGTGCTGACTGGAAGCGTGTGTTTGTGAGAGGAGAATAAAAACCCCTTCAACGATGCCTGACTGGAAGGCATCCAAGTCGTGTTGGGAGGTAATCGATCTGTGCAATCCGGGTTAAATTTGCGACCGCCTGGGATGAAGCTCCTGTTGAACTGACTTTAGGACTGCACTGTAAACTCTCCTTTTGGGGAGCGCACTCCAAACTCTTCCCATTTTCTAGATGCATTTGTTGATTTGCTTGGCAGCGGCGGCGAAAGAGTTGCCATCTCCGGGGTGGTAAATTCCTGGAGATCTGGGGTGGGGAGGGACCTCAGTTGGTTACAGTTAAGATGAAACCCAGGTTTGAGTCCTCACTCTGCCATGGAAGCTCGCTGGGTGACTTCGGGCCAATCTTCCTCTCACAGCTAACCTACCTCGCAGGGTTGTTGTGAGGGCAAAACGTAGGAGAGGGGAACGTGCCCTGAAGCGTCTTTGGGTCCCCAATGAGGAGAAAGGAGGAGTACAAATAACTAAATAAAATAAATATGGTGCCACAGAGCCCGCCCTTCAAAGCAGCTATTTTTCTCTGTAGTCCGGCGCTCAGCCGTCAATTCTGTGAGATCTCCAGGTCCCACCTGGAAGTTGGCAGCCACAGCCTTGTGAATTTCTCTGCCACCCATTTGCCGCACTTGCAATCGGGCGCACGGAAGCAGGGCCACGATCCGTTCCTCGCTAGCCATCCCCTTTAAAATCAGCCTGCTCCCTCCGCGGGGCAGGGACCTTTAGGCGGAACCGGGAAGAGCGAGCGAGACCAACAGGGCGCTGTCTCTTTAAGGCGGGGCGGGGCAAGGTGGCCTCCCCCGCGCGCAGGCTCAAAGGGGCGCTCCTCCGGAAGCGCAAAGTGGACACTCAACGTTCCGATTTGGAACGCTGGGGAGGGCGGCCGCGCGCTCTGATTGGCCGCCCGGGAAGTCTCCGCGTTCGACGCTCGTGAGCAGCACCGCTGCGCTCGTCTCCCTCCGCCTGCTGGAGGTGCCTGCGGGGGAGATCGCGGGGCCGGGGCCGGGGCCGGTTCCTGGCGCTGGGAGTGGTGAGTGCGAAAGCTGCGGGGGGTGGGGGGGACTGGACCCTTGGAAGGCCTCCAGGTGGGGCCTGGGGACCCCTGCAGACTGCCAAGATCAATTTCCCTGGGGGAAAATGGCTGCTTTGGAAGGTGGACTCTGTGGCATTGTACCCCACTGACGTCCCAGGCTCCAACCCCAAACCTCCCGGAGTTCCCCAAACTGGATCTGGCAACCGTACCCCCTGATTCCCTGCCAGTGGCCAGGGGCGACCGGACAACCCTATAGAGGTCAGGAGCCAAGGGCGAATCGTGTAAAAACGAAAGAGAGACCCTTAAAGCCTAATTAAAGGTAAAAGGTAAAGGTTCCCTTGCTCAAAAGCCGGTCGAATCCGACTCTAGGGTTGTGGTGCTCATCGCTGTTTCCAAGCCGAAGAGCCAGCACTGTCCGAAGACGTTTCCGTGGTCAAGTGGCCAGCATGACTAAACACCAAGGCGCACGGAACGCTGTTCCCTTCCCACCAAAGCGGTACCTATTTATCTACTTGCAATTTCTTGCTTTCGAACTGCTCGGTTGGCAGGAGCTGGAACTAGAGACAGGAGCTCACTCCGTCATGCGGCACCCGGGTCTCGAACTGCTGAACTACTGACCTTCCACAGCCTGCAGTTCAGCGTCTTAACCACTTGAGCCACCGCAGCTCCCAAAAGCCTAATTACATGTGTTCTAATGGAGCGATGTGGGGGGGGATATGTCTTCCCCCCCACACCAAGTAATTAAAGGGACTGGGAAGTGGGTATGGGGAGAAATTAGATCAGTAGAATAAATTAATGGCAAAATGTGTCGTTGCTTGCTAAAGAAAAAAGGGTGGAGTCTTAAGGCACCTGGTCTTGCAGGGTTTACTCAGAGGTAACCCTTGCGATGCTCAGGGAGCGTCTTACTCTGATTTTGTCACGCTTCTGCCCTAGTTTTCTTCTTAATGGGGGACCCAGAGCGGCTTTCGAACTGGTTCTCCCCTCTTCCGGTTTATATAACGACGACCCAGTGAGGTAGGTTGGGGCGAGGGAAGGAGGGGGGGGACTGGGCCCAGGACACCCAGTGAGTTTCGATGGCAAAATGGGGATTCGAACTTGGTCGCCTGGCTCCTCTCCTCCATCTTACCTTCACAACAGCCCTGTTAAGTAGGCTAGCAGAACGGGGATCCGAACCAATGCTCCCTCTAAGCTGTGGAGTCTTGTGAGCAAAAATTCTACTTTGTGAGCTCCTGGCATTAAAGTTGTGAGCGAGTGATTTGGCTGCTGCATAACTTAGTTTGCTCTGGAGCCACATCCTTCCTGAGCTAAGACAGAAATGTGTGAGCCGGAGGCTAAAAATCAGTGAACTAGGTCACACTAACTCAGCTTAGAGGAAACACTGGTCCAAACCAGGTCCTAGCTCAGCCCTCTAAAGCCCTTAACGCCCCACTGGTTCTTTGAGTGTTCTGCTAACACTCCTGCCCATTCTCCTCTGTTTTTATCCTCGCAACATCCCTGTGAGGTAGACGAGGCTGAGAGCGTGTGACTGGCCCAAGGCCCCCCAGCGAGCTTCTGTGGCCAAACGGGTTCGAACCTGGTTCTCCCAGTTTCTAGTCCAACCCTCTAACCACTACATACTTGGTTGTGCATGGGGGAGGGGGTAGTGTGTACATTAATTTTCTTATTTACTTTATTTACATCTCACCTTTCTTCCTGATGGGGACACAAAGCAGCTTAGATTTTTATCCTCACAACAACCCTGTGCGGTAGGCTAGGCGGAGAGTGTGGTTAGCTCAAGGTCACCTAGCAAATCTGTTTGTCTAGTTGTTTGTGTACTATGCTGTGAAGTCTGCAGGCAACTGCACTGTGGCAGACGCTTGTGCGCACATTGGGCTGAAGTTCTCTGAAAGAAATGCTCTCTGCGGGTTCTCAGAGAGCCTTCTGCCTACGAGGCACAATGGCAGCTGTGAAAACGGGCTCTGGGATTGAATTCCAGAGACGTAGGGGGCTCTGCCTTCAACGAAACCCCGGGGGACTTTGTGTACATGTCCTGGACAGCTCTTTGGAACAGAAAGGATTGCCCCCGGGGGGAAGAATGGATTGGTTGGCAGATATTGTTACCAGGATTCAGAATAGCAACCGGGAAGCCGGTGTGTCACGAGGAAGGGGGAAAAGAGGGCCAGAGTCCTGCTGCATACTTATTTTGTTTATCTAAAACATTTGTTAGTCACCTAGCTACCTTAAGGTGACTCAAAAATATAAATAGAACAGGAATTATACAATATAAGTAGAACCAGGAATTACTAAAATAATACATAAAAGACTGCAATTTAGAATCACAGTTAGGACTGTCAATATATATATTTTTAAAGTTAAATTAGTCAAAGTAAAAGGTTTCCCTTGCTCGAAAGCCAGTCGATTCTGACTCTAGGGTTGCGGTGCTCATCTCCGTTTCAAAGCCGAAGAGCCAGCGCTGTCCAAAGACGTTTTCCGCGGTCATGTGGCCGGCATGACTAAACGCCAAGGCGCACGGAATGCTGTTACCTTCCCACTGAAGTGGTGCCTATTTATCTACTTGCAATTTCTTGCTTTCGAACTGCTAGGTTGGCAGAGGCTGGATACGTCATGCGGCACTCGGGTCTCGAACTGCCAAACTACAGACCTTCCGGTCTGCAGCTCAGCGTCTTAACCTCTGAGCCACTGCAGCCCAAATTAGTCAAACGCAATCCTAAATAAAAGCATCTTAAGCTGCCTCTTAAAGAACAAGAATGAGGGAGCCACCTCCCTGGAGAGGTTGTTCTGTGATCGTGGGGCCGCCACTGAAAAGGCTCTGTCCTCCTGCACCCATCAGATGAGCTTCTTTGATCGGCGGGACAGTTGGGAGGGCCTCTCCCTGGGATCTTAATTCCTGGGCAGGAATGTAGGGGAGTAGAGGGACCCTCTTCTCCCCCGGTCCCAAGCTGTGTCAGGCTTCAACCCGCTGAATCGCTTCTGAGTTAAACCGTCTGAAGGCGGCACTGTGGAAATGGCTTTTCAAGACCCACTGGGCTCCTCGTGTCAGACTGGATCCCTGCCTTCTCCGTTCCCATAACGACGCAGCTGCCGAGTTGCGTTGTGAGTCATGAACGCCAACTGTGGTGGGCGAAAAAACAGAGAAAAGAGAGAGGCACGTACTCCCTCGTGGAAATGCACGTGAGGTCGGCGGACCGTCCCTTTTGATTCTTCAAATGCAAGTAAAATGGCCCTGAACATGGCCCTTTGGGGCTACCTCGCAGGAAGCCCCTCCTGTGCGTCTGGCTGGTGAGCAATGCTCCCTCTAAGCTGTGGGTTCTTGTGAGCAAAAATTCAATTTCGTGCGCTACCAGCATTAAAGTGGTGAGCTGCTGCATAAATCAGTTTGCTCCGGAGCCCTCCTTCCTAAGCGAAGACAAAAACGAGTGAGCTGGGGGCTAAAAAACTGAGCTAGCTCACACTAACTCAGCTTAGCGGGAACACTGCTGGTGAGATGTGAAAGCGTGGCCGTCTGCTCCCCGGATTGATCCCCTGATTTCTCGCTTTTCCTTTTCTCCCCGGAAGGCTGAACGATGGAGGGCTTCGGCCACAAGCGGAGGAACGCCGACGGCACCGGCTTGGCCAGCCTGGTGGACTTCCTCCTAGCCAACGCGAGGGTGGTCTTGGGCGTCAGCGGGGCGGCTGTGCTGGCACTGGCGACGCTGGCCGTGAAGCGGGTGAGACTCCTCGTTGTTCTCCCTTTCCGGGGGGGTGGGGTGGTGGTGCTTGCAGCCATGCACCGGTTGCGTCTCAGAGGGGATTTTCCCCATTGTGAAGCCATCCTTTTATTGAGGGCAGATTGCAAACCATAGAGCAGGGGTGTCAAACATGTGGCCCGGGGGCCACTTGAGGCCCCCGGAGGGCTTCTATCAGGCCCACAGTAGAACTGTCTGTCTTCTGCTTTTGCTTCCAGTTCTGCTTCTGCTGCTGCGTCATCGTAGGTTTGCAGCTTACAGATACACACCTGAACAGCACCCTCAGGATTGCAGCAGCACAGACATTTTAACGCGATAATTCAGAGCAAGAGGTGTCAGTTACCAGACACTGTTAAATAAACAAGATATTGCAAGAGTGCTGATGTTTTAAGCATGTTTTTATTTTAAGTTTTTTAAAAAAAACCTTTGTGTTTGTGTCCTTTGTAAAGTTTATATTGCCGCTACCAGGCATTACGTTTTATGACACATGGCCCGGCCCAACAAGGTCTCGTTTATGTCAGATCCGGCCCTCGTAACAAACGAGCTTGACACCCCTGCCGTAGAGTGAGGCAGTGCAGTTTGTACCCACGTAGATTTGTTTGTGGTCCTCTGGGACTGTAGAAAATGGGTAGGAGTGGTGGGTTTGCTCCTTGGGCACGGCGTGGCGTGGGTCTCCATGCCTCCCGTGGGTTTCCATGCCTGGCGGACGTACTCCGTTTATTTTGGAAGATCGCAAAGTGTGCAAGGCAGAGGAGTATAGGTCTGTCATCTGCCACGGGAAGTAATCGTTGCAACCTACTTCAAACTTTTTTTGAGCAGTCTAGACGAGGGGTGGTCACTCACAAGAGCGCTTTAAAGGGATTCCATATCGGAAAAACTGCGCAGGGGCTCTCATCCCCTGCCACAGATTTTGTCTGTCTTTAAGGTGCTGCTTTTAAAGGGGATTAGGCAAATTCATAGAGGACAGATCTATTAGTGGCCATGGTGACTAAAGGGAAACTCCACGTTTGGAGACAGTAAACCTCTGAATACCAGTGCTAGGAGGCAACATCAGGGGAAGGCCTTGGCCTCTATGCCCTGTTGTTGGTTCTCCAGATGAACTGGCTGGCCACTGTGTGGGACAGGATGCTGGACTAGGTTGACCCTCGTTGGTCTGATCCAGCAGGGCACTTCTGAGGTTCTTATCAGGAGAAGGCCTCAGCCTCCATGCCCTGTTGCTGGCCCTCCAGAGGAACTGGTTGGCCCCTGTGAGAGACAGGATGCTGGACTGGATGGACCCTCGCTGGCTTTTCTGAGGTTCTTCTCAGGGGGAGGCCTCGGCCTCTATGCCCTGTTGTGGGCCCTCCAGAGAGACTGCCTCGTGCGGCAGCCATCTTGTGGCTGCGCCCAGCACCCTGTGTCATAATTTCAAAGGTGCCCGCAGGCTCAGAAAAGGTGGGGACCCCCAAGTTATGTGTGGGCAAAGGTGCTACTAGCCAGTAGCGATTATACGGTTACCAACCTTTCTCTCACTTGGCTTGTTTGATTGGTTTCCTCGGGAGCCATTCCCCCTTTGGGAGTTCTGTGCTTATTTTTATCCTGTGTACTGGAAGCTGACAGTGAACTCCCAAGCGAAGAACTGGGCAGAAAGCCCCGGACGCTCAGGCTTGTTGTTAATCCCTCTGGATTGTAGCCCGGGCGTAGATTTTGTGTTCCGGACTCAGCGGAGGTAGGGGCCAGTGCTGAATTAAGGGGTTTGTTCTTCCTACAGCTCATAGACCGAGCCACCAGCCCGCCGGACGACGATGAGGACGTGAAGGCCAAGCAGAAGTCCCTCGAGGAGAGCTGGCAGGAACTCAGTTTGACCCAGACGGTGCCAAAACCGCAGCTCACGTCGAGACGGGGAAAACCGGAGGAGCCGCTGCTCTCGCCGGTCAAAAGTGGGACTACTCAAGGTGAGGCCGGACGAGACTGTGAGCTTCTCCGTGGTGTCGTGGCTAGAGCATCAGACTGAGTTTGGGGAGACCGGGGTTCGAAGCACAGACAGCGTTAAGAGGGGTGCATAAACCTATGGAGCAGAGGTCTATCAGTGGCTATTAGCTACAAGGTATCGATGGAACACTCTGTCTGGGGAAGTGATGCTCTGTCTTCTTGGTGCTTAGGGGGGCAACAGTGGGAGGGCTTCTGGAGTTCTGGCCCCGCTGCTGGACCTCCTGATGGCACCTTGGTTTTGGCCACTGTGTGGCACAGAGTGTTGGACTGGATGGGCCACTGGCCTGATCTATCATGGCTTTTCTTATGTTCCCTGTTCCGCAAAGGAAGCTTGCTGAGTGAGCTTTGGTCAATCATTCTCGCTCAACCTAACCTACCTTACAGGGTGGTTGTGGTGAGGCTAAACTTAAAGAGGAAAGGGAGAACTGTGTTGTCAGCCAGGTTGTGGCCCCAGTGTGGAGAAAACTGGGATATAAATAGCTAAATAATATGTTTTGCTGTGACGTTGGTTCTGAGAATGACCTGTATCCAGTTGAAGTGGTGGGGCTGTGGGTCAGTGGTAGAGCCCCGGCATCTCCAGTTAAAAAGGACCAGGCAGGAGGTGATGGGAAAGACCTCCTCCCGAGATCCTGGAGAGCTGTAAAGAGGGGCTGTGGCTCAGTGGCAGAGCCTCTGCTTGGCATGCGGAAGGTCCCAGGTTCAATCCCCGGCATCTCCAGTTACAAAGGACCAGGCAGTAGGTGATGGGAAAGATCTCTGCCTGAGACCCTGGAGAGCTGTAAAGAGAGGCTTTGGCTCAGTGGTAGAGCCTCTGCTTGGCATGCAGAAAGCGCCAGGTTCAATCCCCGGCATCTCCAGTTACAAAGGACCAGGCAGTAGGTGATGGGAAAGGTCTCCACCTGAGACCCTGGAGAGCTGTAAAGGGGCTCTTTAGGGCATTTGGCTGCCTGCTGTTAGAATGTGGGGCTGTGACTTGGTAGTACAGCCTTCTCCCTCGCAAAGAGAGGATTCCGTTCCTGGGATTTACTCTGAGAGTTTGTAAAGCCACTGCCGGTCAGAGCACTCGGTGCAAGGAAACTTCGTACGACTAGGCAGACCTTTGTTCTGATGTAGCGCAGCACGTCCTTCTGATGTTCTTACGCCAGGCCACACTGAGGATTTCAGTTTTTGTATTTTCTCCTTCACAGAACCCGAGGACATTGTTCCATCTCCGGAGATGCCTCCGCCGGAACTGAAGACCCGCCTGTGCCTCACTCTTCAGGAGAAACTCCTTGCCCACTACCAGGATCGTGTCTCCGCCTCTGAGGCCAGAGAGAACCTGGGGAAACGGCTGTCGGAGGATATCTGTGCCGAGTTGCAGAACTGCCTGAAAAAGTACTCCAAACTGCCCTTCGGCAACGCCTTCCTTAGTGGGGACCTCTGCGACGGTCTTGTCGGAGGGGAAAACCTGGAGGTCAACCTTGTGCTCCCCCTCGTTCTCGAGCCTGACCTTTGGGCCCCGATCCCAGGGGAGCAGACTGTGGTGAACGACCCCCGCATCTGGATGATCAAGCGGACGGGTTTGGAGTATTTCCTGAGGGGAAGCAGTCCTTGGGATAGGTTCATCGTGGGTGGGTATCTCTCCTCCAGTGCCATCGCCGACGCTCTCTGGAAGGTGTTGGAGACCTCGATCAACTGGCTGGCCATTGGGAGCGCGCTGGAGTGCGTGGTCCGGCCTGTCGTGGCTCCTAAGGAGCTCAAACTCGAAGTCAGGCACGAGCAGATCCACCTGGATATAACCCTGTGCCCGATGACGGAAGCCGGGGACAAAACCCTTCTTGCTGCGTCCTTGGAACAACCGGTTGAGAACTTCTGGCAGCAAAGCTTCTATGCTATGGAGGTCTCCAGACTGAAAAATCTGGACGCCAGAGATGCTGGTGTCCGGCAGTGCTGTCTTCACCTCTTGAAGGCTGTCTTTGAAAACCACCCCTCCTGGCGCAAGCTGACCAGTGGCCATTTGATTCATGTCCTCCTACACCTGAGCGAAACTGAGTCCGATTGGTCAGAGGCGGCCCTGGCCGACCGGTTCCGGCAGGCCCTGGAGGAGCTGCTCCGATACCTGGAGGAGAGTTCCCTCCCTTGCTATTTCGACAGCCGGATCAACCTCCTGGAGCACCTGAGCTTGGAGGAAATTGACGAGATCGGCTTCACGTTGTACGCGGCTCTCACGGAACCCGATCTTTGGAACGGACTCGGTTTATAAACGTCTTGGGCGAAGACACAGCTGCGCTTTGTGTCCACTCGCGGAGAGGGGTTGAACAGCTTGGAAGGATCCTCTTTCCACTGGGATGGTTCTTTACACATAATGAAGAATTTACATTACGGACTCTTGAAGAAATGATAAATATGGATTTGAAGGAAAATGACCTGGGGTACAAGAGGAGCCTTCTCTCCCCACAGGGCCATTTCTTGCATTACTGTCCAACCCAGAAATCCTATTTGGAGTAGATACTTGAGATTCTTACTGAACACGTGTGGATTCAAGACATTCTTTCCGAGCTGGGCGGTCGGTCAGCACAAAAAGCCGCCATGCCTTGGGGGTTCGCCCCGAAGACCAAGGCAACGAATCCTCGCGGAGTCCCTGAAGCCCTCCCTGTGCCATGGTAGTCAGTAACATATCTTAGTTGTTCAGTTCCAGAGAAGTCCGGAGCTCAGAGGAAAATTGCAAATTCGTCTTTGTGGTAGGCCGGCCCCCATTCAGAGCTGAAGCCTATCTTGTAGGAATGAAATTGGGACCTTTGTTTGTGTTGTCTGTCAATCATATTTTGCCAGTAGTCAAGATAAGTGCCAAAGGTGGGGTAGAATTGGTATCTGGGTCTACGGGAATGGGCTGACGGTCTTGGCTGCAAGCAAATGTTCACCGGGGTCCGTAGTGCTATCATAACGCTTCTGTTAAAGGCCTTCGAATCGTAACGATGTCTGCCTTATGATTTTCCCCCTCCTTGTGCCTCTTTTTGTATTAGACCACCCACTGGTCCATAAGCAGATTTGCCCCCCCCCCCCGATAGTCTGTTTTGTCTCGACGCAACTGGATGTTGATACAAGATTGTAGGGAGCTTATATTCTTCCTCGAAAGGCGTCCCCAAATCCCTTTATATGTAAAAAAAAATTTTTTTTAAGCTAGAGATCTATGCTATGTGCACTTTGCATAAAACAAGAACCACAGAAACAAAAGAGGCAGAATCCCACTGCGTCCCTGTCCCCCCTCGGAAATCTTGCTTGAGCATAAAATGCCACGGGTGTTCTAGGGAAGTCTTAAACGTAACGTGCATTTCATTGTTAGTGAGCACACAGCTCACTGTGTGGAGGGTTTCCTGTGTTGTGTAATTTCCCTGTTGAAACTCTGGCTGGAGTCACCTTTTACCCCCTTTTGTGTTCTAAAAGAACTTTCTGAAAAATATCCGAAGAAAAATGGTAAAACTGCGTCTGGGTATTGAAAGAAATTAACTGTACGATGATGGGGCGAATGTACCGTGTATCATGATGTGCAATTTTTTTTTGGCTAACTTAATAATAGATTGCAGCTGATCGGGCATTGCACAAAAAAAAAAGGTGTGGTGATATGGATTGTATTTATGGGGCAATGGAATGCCTTTCCTACTCTCCCCCCACCCCAAATTTGTGTTCTAAGTGCTGTCATCCAATTCTTTGTGAAAAACAAGTTTCTGGTTACTGTTTTGGAAGAGGGGAGAAAAAGCACTTTTAGACCACTTCAAGGAGTTATGGCGTATTTCTTCCTCCCCCCCCCCCCGGGGGCTTTCTGTAAGGGTGTCTGGGGTGAAATTCTAGGGAAGTGAAGCCTGCAGTCTGTGTCTTATAAGCTAGTGTTATGAAGAAATTCCAGCTAGTTGATGCAGGGTTACTGTACAGTTTGGTGTAGTGGTTAGGAGCGCGGACTCTAATCCGGGAGAACTGGGTTTGATTCCCCACTCCTCCATATGCAGCTACTGGTGTGACCTTGGGTCAGTCACAAGTTCTCTCAGAGCTGTTCTCTCAAGGGCAGTCCTGAAAGAGCTCTCTCAGCCCCACCTACCCCACAGGGTGTCTGTTGTGGGGAGGGGGAGGGAAAGGAGATCGTAAGCCGCTCTGAGACTCCTTCGGGCAGTGAAGGGCGGGGTATAAACCCAATGTCTTCTTCTATTTCAAGTGCTGGAGATTAAAGATGCGTTTTATTGATAAGTCACTCTTTGTTAGGCTCTGTGATAGAATATACATTTAGAGCAGATGGGAAAGAATTCACATCTTAATATGGGAGTCCCCTTCTGTTCTGAGCCTGTGGACACCTTTGGAATGCAGTGTGTTGGGCAGAGCCACAAAAGGGTTGCCACATCCCCTGCAGTCACACGAAGGAAGGCCCTTGGGCTGGGGGGGGCAGCTGCTCTCCAAAGCAACGTTTTTAAAAATCTGCACTAACCAGTCAGAGGACATGCTGGAGAAAAGCCCTGCCCCCCCCATTTCTAAAAACACGGGCACCGTGTTGGGGGACCCCTGTCTTAATAAAGCCAAGTTCTAGAAGTGTGTAGCAAGTATGAATACATGTCTGTCACAAACACGAAAAACAACCTCCTTCCCAGAACTGTGGTATTACCTTCCACTGTTACAATATACCGAAGTTTCTACTTTCTACCAGTGAAAAACACCACAGGGTGAGCTCTGTTGATCAGTAAGAAGGTGGCCAGGGAAGTAATTCTGTACAGCTCAGAAAGAGAGACTGGGGGAGGTGATACAGGGCTCAAAGTTACAAAGCAAAACTTTAAAAAACAAGCGGGCAGGCTTAGAAACCATGACGTGCTTCGAACACTTCTGTTCTTAAAATAAACACAGTTGCTTGTGCCACACTTTGGTGTAGGGTTCACAGAGTTCTAGCTACTGTTGCCACAACAAAGGGCAGACCACTTACTTCTGGTAAAAATTAGTTTAATTTAAAAAAGGCCAAGCCAGTTCTTAACAGGTAGCAGCTTCCTCCTGAGAGCAGGAGGAGGAAGGGCATTCGCCAAGGAGCAGCATAGAGTTGTGGGGGTGGGTGGGTGGACATGAACTGCATCTATTCCTTGAGGAAAGGAAGGAATCTGCCATCCAGCAAGAAGATGATTAATCACCTTTCTGAATTCTACACCCAACATTTTCAAGGGAGTTTTGAAATTGAGTTTTCTAAGGCAACATGGAGCATTCCCAAAACTCGTGTGGTCACTATAGAAATGGCAGTTAGAGATGGGGACACAGAGGGCACTGGGGAAAAACAACAACAAGGTAAAGGTTTACAGATCACACCTGTATGTCCCTTGCCGCCCCCCCCCCCAAAGAACTATAAACTCTGACACTTCCTTCTGGCGTTTTAGCCGCCTCTTCACACAGAGGTGTATCTGCAACAGAAAATTGTTTCCCCCGCCAGTAAGCAAGAGCTTCAGTTGATGTACCTATTTGCTGCTCTTCCTTTTGAGGGTCGTGGAATGTTTGCTGCTTCATCCTGAACCACATTCACACACCCCCCAACAAAAAGCTGCTTTGCCCATTGCACTGGGGGGACAAAACAGAAGCATGCAGTTGATAGGGAAATCTGGAAAGCAGGAAGCCCTGTCCTGGGGTAGGGGAATGCCAGGGAAAGGGGCTTCCTACGTCCCATATCCAGTCCCGCTTTCAAATCCATCAGAAGGGGAACAAACCGTGTTTTAATGGTACAGCTGGCTCACAGAAAGCGTCTCTGCAAACAGACTCGTATACCATCCCAGCCACATGCTGGCTTCTTGCGCCACACAGATCACCGCTTCCCCTAGTCTTTGAATTGAGTTCCGGGGCGGGCCTGACGGCGTGTCAGCGATTCTGCGGACACGTCTTCCTCGTGTGGCCGGCTTGGTGGCAGATCCCGCAAGTCCGTGGCCGCTTGGCTGTGGGGGGCCTTACGGAAGAGTCGCTGCTTGGCCTTTTGGGGTTGGGCCCCGCCTCTCTGCCCGTTGAGTGGCTTGAAGGAAAGGCTGCAGGGTGGGAAAAGAGAGAAACCGGGTCAGTGTGTGTGTGGTTCTGCCCAATCGCCTTTCTGATGTACAGGTCAGCTGTCACACAAAACCAAAATTCAGAACCCAGAGGATAACTTGAATCCCCACCTTGCCCAGAAAAGGATTTTATTGTTCTCTTGCTTCAGGCATGAGGCTGTGGCTCAGCGGTAGAGCCTCTGCTTGGCATGCCTATGGTCTCTGGTTCAATCTTGAGCACCTCCAAGTTAAAAAGGACCAGGTAGCAGGTGATGAGACTGTGTCAGGACCCACAGCTAAACAACGAAGTACACGCTTCCAGGAAGGTTTTACTTTTATTGAAAAGCCATAGATGCAATAAGAGAGAGAGAGATTGGATTTATACCCCATGGCCCTTCGCTACCCAAAGGTGTCTCAGAGCGGCTTACAAACTCCTTTCCCTTCCCCTCCCCACAACAGATACCCTGTGACACGAACACTGTTAGGAATGGCGGGTTACCTATGCGCATAATAGGATATAGGGCATTTGTATGCACCCCCCCCCCATAGCAATGACCAATTAGGTAGGCTCCCACGCGTGGGACATTACTAGTCTCTAACCGTTGCTAAGCTGGGAACGAAGATGCTCCCACGGACGATAGACACCACATACTTCACACCAGTACAACGTCAAAGATATGCGTTGCAGCTTTGAAGCAATCAAGCGCATGGGAAGGAATGCAAAGGAAAACAAAGCATCTCCACACTCATGACAGCGTAGCTGACAGACTGACAAACATCTAAGAACATCAGAAGACCTTCAGTGGACCATCTTATCCAGCATCCTATCTCACATGGGTCAATGAGTTACTCTGAAGGGCCAGCAACAGGATACAGGCTGAGGCCTTCCCCTGATATTGTCTCCTGGCACTGGTATTCAAAGGTTTACTGCCTCTGAATGTGGAGGTTCTTTTTAGCCACCATGACTAGTAGCCTCTGACGGCTCTCTCCTTCATGAATCTGTCTAATCCCTTTTCCAAGCTTGTCTATGCCTGTAGCCATCTCTACATCCTCGGTCAGCGAATTCCATATTTTAATCACTCGTGGTGTAGAGAAGTATTTCCTGTTTTGCCCATCAGCTTCACTGGATACCCTCAAGTTCTAGTATCTTGGGAGAGGAAGAAAAAGTTATCTGTGTCAACTCTCTCCACACCATACATTAATTGTATAAACCTCTACCATATCTCCTCTAAACTGAAGATTTATAAGCACATGATGATTAAAAACCTAGGAGTGGCTTGAGATAACAACAGAAATAGAAAATAATGAACAAGCGTTTATACAGTAGAAAAGAGCAAGAGTCCAGCAGCACCTTAAAGACTAACAAAATATGTGGCGGGGGAGGAGCTTTTGTGAGCCACTTCTCACGTCTTCTGATATCTAGAGAAGTGAGCCGTGACTCACGAAAGCTCCTCCCCTGCCACATATTTTGTTAGTCTTTAAGGTGCTGCTGGACTCTTGCTCTTTTCTATTGCTATAGACAGACTAACACGGCAACCCATCTTCATCAAGCATTTAGACCGCATTTCCCCATATATTCCCCAAAGAGCACTTCGGTCGGGGTCACAACACCGGCTGGTGACCCCGGGCCCTAAGGAGGCCAAGCTTGTGGCAACAAGGGCCAGGTCTTTTTCAGTGGTGGCTCCTACCGGGTGGAATGGGCTCCCGAAGATCAGGGCCCTGCGGGACCTTGTGCAGTTCCGCAGGGCCTGCAAGACGGAGCTCTTCCGCCAGGCTTATGAGTAGGAGCCGCCACGGCCACTTACACCACCGCTCCTTATAGAGAGAGACCGCTGGGGAGTTGGGCAACATCTTTCCATTACCCAGCCTTCCCCCCCTGCTACGCAAGATGTTAGGAGTTTATATGTGCATCTGTAGAATTGATTTTAATCTATTTTATTTTTGTATTTTGTAATTTTGTATACTGTACGCACTTTGTGCCCTATGTGAGCCGCCCTGAGCCTGTTCGCGGGGAGGGCGGGGTATAAATGCAATAAAATAAATAAATAAATAAAATAAATAAACAGACAGTACTTTAAGCATCCAAAGGGCTTCAGGCAGATTTACATCAAAAAATATCAGACTACCCCACCACCAAAAGGCTGTTGAGACAAAAATATTTGAAAATGCTGGCACTCGGAAATCTCTTTTCTTTTTGAGCTCTGTGCTAGCTGCAAATTTTTGGTTAACGGAATTTTTAATCCAGGAAGTAGAGAATTATTGTTACTGAATTATTTCTCCATCCCTTCTACCCTGCAAACTTGAACACGGTATTTGAGATCTGAGCGAGACAACTGGCTATTGAAAGCCCCTCTCATCAACTCTCTTAAGTGACTTCCACGTTTCAGTGTTGTTCCTAGGGATCCCCCGGAGTTATGGTTGATAACCCAGACTGCAGAGATCAGTTCCCCCTGAAGAAAATGGCTGCTTTGGAGGGTGGAGCTCTGTGGCACTGTACCCCCACTGAGGTTCCTGTCCAATGCTCCCTCTGAGCTGTGGACTCTTGTGAACAAAATTTTTACTTTGTGAGCTACCGACAGAGTTGTGAGCAAGCGATTTGGCTACTGCATGAACTAGGTTGCTCTGGAGCCCTTCCTGAGCGAAGATAAAAATGTGTGAGCTGGAGGCTAAAAAACGGAGCTGGCTCACACTAACTCAGCTTAGAGGGAACACTGTTTCTGCCCTCCTCAGGCCCCACCCCCAAATCTCCGGAAGTTTCCCAACCTGGATCTGGCAACCCTACCACCCCAACCTGGCAACTCTAGTTTCCCCCTTAGTAAGGACTAGAAACTTGAGCGTTTTTTTAAAGTTAAAAAGGCAGAACTGGACAGGTACACTGGATTCTGCTCTGCTTCCCAAATAGAGAACTGCAGCTGTGCGGAGACGGGGGGGGGGGGGGGGGGGGGGAGGATCCCCCTGCCGTCCCGGTCCCAATGCTCCCTCCCCTCACCTGGTGCTGCGTTTTCGTCGGCCCACTGGAAGAAGCCGCACTGCTGCTCTCGGGGCTTGGCGCAGGTGTGGAACTGACGGCCTTTGTTGGGGCCCTCTTTCTGTACTGTCCGGACGATGGCCGGCTGGTCGCACTTGCAGGTAGCGCCTCCTCCTCCTCCGTCGCCCCTGCCGTCGGGGCCGCCTCCAGGGTAGGAGCCCTCGCTCCAAGAACGTCCCCAGCCCCTTTCCCCCCTACCCCCGGGTGCCCGGTTGCTCCTGCCGTCTGCCTCTTGATCAGACCACAGGAAGAAGTTGCAGCCGCCCGTGCTGCACTTGTAGAAGCGCCTGCCCTGATTGGGGCCTTCCTTCCGGACCATCAGCAACACAGCTGGTTCCCCGCAGTTGCACGAGACGGCGTTTTCATCGGCGCTGTCTGGTGGGCGGGCCGGATTCCGGGCCGCCCTGGCAAGAGGAGCCGGGGGTCCGGTTGGTGCGTTTGCCGGCAGCTGGACACGGCGGTCTTGGCGGTTGGTCACGCAGCTAAGGGAGCGGCCGGTTTGCAAAGGGTTAGCCGGCTGGCCGGGTGGCTGCGGGGGTCTGGGCGGGCCTTGGAGGTATTTCAGGTCCAGGATCTCCCGAAGGGTTTCGTCACAGCCTCCGACACAGCCGACAAACTCCAGGGGCATCATGGCGGGCAGGCTGCCCCTCTTGAACTTCAGTTTCAGCCTGAGGGGGAGAAGAGAGAAGAGGGGCTGTGAGTTATGACAGGGCTCGTTCTGGGTTGTGGGATAGGAGCAGATCCATTCCACAGTGGGACTGTTTTCAGTTAAGAGTCCAATAGCACCTTAAAGGCTAAGAAAATGTGTGGCTTTCATGAGTGACGGCTCATTTCTTCAGATACAGCTAGAATGGGAGACTGCTGAATTGCAACTGATAATGGAGCTCAAGACAATGCATCCCCCTGGACTGAATCGAGACCTAGGTTTTCTGTCTCATTGCCAGTTCTGATTTCTCCATGCTTACAACCTTTCTGCGTATCACGCCTAATCCAGTAACGCCTGCTATTGACATTTGCCTGCTATTGTCATTCGGCATCTGAAATCACCCTCCAAGATACAAGGACAGATGGACTCACATTCTAACTGTATCTGAAGAAGTGAGCGGTGACAAGGACAGATGGACTCACATTCTAACTATATCTGAAGAAGTGAGCGGTGACTCATGAAAGCTCACATCCTGCCACAAATCTTGTTAGTCTTTAAGGTGTGACTAGACTCTTGCTCTTTTCTATTGCTACAGACAGAGTAATACAGCTACCCAACTTGATCTTTTTTCAGTTAGTTCACAACTAAGAGTAAAAAATTTTATGGAGTTAGTTTTAGTAAAGGTAAAGGTTTCCCTTGCTCGAAAGCCAGTCGAATCCGTCTCTAGGGGGCGGTGCTCATCTCCGTTTCCAAGCCAAAGAGCCAGCGCTGTCCGAAGACGTTTCTGTGGTCATGTGGCCGGCATGACTAGACGCCGAGGCGCACGGAACGCTGTTCCCTTCCCACCGAAGCGGTACCTGTTTATCTACTTGCAGTTTCTTGCTTTCGAACTGCTAGGTTCAAGGAGGAGCTGGGGCCAGAGAGGGGAGCTCACTCCGTCACGCAGCACTTGGGTCTCAAACTGCTGAACTACAGACCTTCCAGTCTGCAGCTCAGCGTCTTAACCACTGAGCCACCGCGGCCCCTGGAGTTAATTTTATTAAAACATTTATATCCCATCTTTCCTTGTGGTTCGAGGCGGCTGACAATGATGGCTGGAAAAGTTTTCACTTGAAACTAAAAATAAAGTAGCCAACCCCAAATCCCTCCCCTTAAAAGATGCCTGCTGTTCAGACCCCTTAGAAAACCCGGACAAAGAGGCCGGCTTTGTAGCGTCTCCTGAAGACCTCCGAGGACAGGGTCCCCCCACACGTCCTCGGGGAGCCCCTCCCACAGAGCCGGCACCATGATGGAAGAGAGGCCCAACTCTGGTTGAGACCGAACGGGCGACTCTCTCTGGTGGGACAGCCAACCAACGGCTCCCTGGCTGACCGTACACAAAGTACAACATACGTGGCTGTAGGGAGCCAATACAAAACTAACAACTACAAGTTATTAATCCATATAAGGATAGTTTGCAAGCAAGTCTGGTGTCGTAGTTAAGTGTGTGGACTCTAATCTGGGAGAACCGGGTTTGACTCCCCACTCCTCCACTCGCAGCTGCTGGATGACCTTGGGCAAGCCACAGTTCTATCACAGCTGGTCTCTTAAGGACAGTTCTGGAAAGAGCTCTCTCGGCCCCGCCTACCTGACAGGGTGTCTGTTGTGGGGAGGGGAAGGGAAAGGAGCTTGTAAGCCACTCTGAGACTCTGAGTGAAGGCCAGGGTATACCAGTTTGGTGTAGTGGTTAAGTGTGCGGACTCTAATCTGGGAGAACCAAGTTTGATTCCCCACTCCTCCTCCACTTGCACCTGGCTGGATGACCTTGGGCAAGCCGTAGTTCTGATAAGAGCTGTTCTTGAAAAAGAGCAGTTCTTGTCAGAGCTCTCTCAGCCCCACCCGCCTCCCAGGGTGTCTGTTGTGGGGAGTGTAAGCCGCTCCTGAGACTCTCTACTCTTCTTCTTCTTCTAAATCCAATCTCTTCTCTTCTTCTTCTTCTAATAACCAGTAATAAACATATATCAGAGTTCTAAAGTTACAACAAGTCCCATAGACAGTTCTTATTTCAAATTGTTTCAAAACAATCGTCATCGGGATTGCTTGATTAAAATCTGAAAATTCAGTGGTGCCCTCTGACCTGGAATTCTAAGATAAGAGAAATCTTGATGAAGATTGTTTCGAAATGAGAGGGAAGCTGACAACCCATCCCAGCTACTGCCTCATTAACCTTATCCGACAGGAGAATGTTTGAAAGACTGGAATTGTTACTGCTTCATTCACTCTATTTAAAAGAAGAACTGCCACAGGAAGTGGTGGCGGCTACAAGCATGGACAGCTTCAAAAGGGAATTAGATAAGCATATGGAGCAGAGGTCCATCAGTGGCTATTAGCCACAAGGTATAGATAGGGTCTCTGGGGCAAGGAATGCTCTGTCTTCTTGGTGCTTGGGGGGGTCAACAGTGGGAGGGCTTCTAATGTCCTGGCCCCACTGGTGGACCTCCTGATGGCACCTGGTATTTCTGGCCACTGTGTGACACAGAGTGTTGGACTGGATGGGCCTTTGGCCTGATCCAACATTGGCGTCTCTTATGTTCTTATGTATATGGGACTCGTATTACTTTAGGGTTCTCGTCTAGTGAAAATAAGATGTCGGATGCCACATTTTACATGTCACTCCTGAGGAGGAGGAGGAGAAGAAGAAGAAGAGATTGGATTTATACCCCGCCCTTCACTACTCAAAGGAGTCTCAGAGCGGCTTACAATCTCCTTTCCCTTCCCCTCCCCACAACAGACACCCTGTGAGGTCGGCGGGGCTGAGAGAGCAATTTTGAGGACTTCCCTTGAGAGAACTTGTGACTGACCCAAGGTCACACCAGCAGCTGCATGTGAAGAAGTGGGGAATCAAACCTGGTTCTCCCAGATTAGAGTCTGTGCTCCTAATCACTACACCAAACTGGAACCCCAGGACTTTGATATATGTTTTATTACTGGCTGTTATCTTACAAACTATGCTTATATGGATAATAAATTGTCGTTATTCGTTTTGTACTGGTTTCTTACAGCCACGGACATAGCACTTTGTGCGTAAGTCTGTTTGTGGCTGTGCTGCTATTCTTATAGTGCCTGATGACCGTAGTTGGCTCACAGGGATGTATGGAAGGAGACGGTCTTTCAAATTGGTATAAAACAGGGCATCAAAGTCTTATTTAAATGAAATTATTGCCGTTTCTTTCAGAGGATATTATTATTAATTTGATTTGTGAATCGCCCTATCCCACGGTGGTCTGTAGAAGAACAGTTCGATTTGAATCCAGGAGCACCTCAGAGATGGGCAAGATTTCGGTACGTTTTACCATATGGGGTGGACATGTGATATAGTGCTTAATTTTGGGGTCATGGTACATGTTTGGTGTCGTGTTTAAGTGCGTGGACTCCACTCCTCCACTTGCACCTGGCTGGATGACCTTGGGCAAGCTGTAGTTCTGATAAGAGCTGTCCTTGAAAAAGAGCAGTTTCTCTCAAGAGCTCTCTCAGCCCCGCCTACCTCACAGGGAGGGGAAGGGAAAGGAGCTCTGAGACATCTTTGGGTAGTGAAGGGCGGGGTATACATCCAATCTCTTCTTCTTCTTCTTATACAGACAGTTTTGCAGCTCTCAATACCTTTTCAACCAGAATTGTTTTTACTGAATTGTATACCAGAGGACTTTGATAAAAATCAAAGATATTTTATCATTCATGTAGTAACTGCAGCTAGAATTAATATCTGCATCCTACTGGAAACTTCCATCGATACCTTCTAAAAACGACCGAATAGTGAAGACTACGGAAAGTGCAGAAGTGGACAAATTGACCTTGATGTTAAAAGGGCAAATGGAAGAAGACTTTGTTGGACTACGGACTCCATTTTATAACTGGGTAAGAGAGAACTATAAAGATAGGAATGTCCTAATATTATAACATCAAAGAAGCTTTTATGAACTTTTAAAACCTTACAGTCTTGTCTCTGTATAATATGAAATATTATACCTTCCCTTTCCCCCTTCCCCATCTTTTTGTGTATTCTAAAACATAATAAAATGTATTTATTTTTTTTTTTAAAAAGAGAGATGGGCAGGATCTCCAGGGGGTGAGCTTTCGACAGTCAAAGCAACCTTCGTCAGATACCTGACGTCGTCTCTGACGAAGGGAGCTTTGACTCTTGAAAGCTCATCCCCTCGAAATCTTCTCGACATCCCAGGTCTGGCTGGACTCAAATCTAGCTCCCCAAATGTCTCAGGCGCACACTGGTTTCGTTCTAAGGAGAAAGGATGTGCGTGGAAAACTCCGAAGGCTTCCTCCCTCTACGCAGACGCTCACCTGTGAACGGGACGCGGCTGGCACACGTCGCAGACGGAGTCGTCCTTGCTCGCTTCCAGCACCGAGTCGGGAAACCACACGGCAGACTTACAATCAGGGTAGCCCGTGCAGCTCAGGTAAAATCTGGAGCCGACAGGATAAAAATGTTAAGTATCAGAAAGAAGGCGAGTAGGTTTTTAATACCCCACTATTCTCTATCCTAAGGAGTCTCAAAGCAGCTTGCGATCACCTTTCCCTTCCTCTCCCCACAACAGGCACCTTATGAGGTAGGTGGGGCTGAGAGGGGGCTGAGAGAACTGTGACTGGCCCAAGGTCACCCAGCGGGCTTCATGTGGAGGTGGAGTGGGGAGTCAAACCCAGTTCTCCGGTTGGAGTTTGTCACTCTTAACTGCTACACCACAGTGGCTCTAGAGAGAAGCCTTGGAAGGGGCAAGGACCCCGTTAGTCACATGTCCTGTTCAGCACCAACCCAGCCGGGAGACACTCGGCTAAGCCTGTGAATAAGGATCGCCTGGTTGCTTGTGCTCAGTGCCCAGAGGAAAGCAAAAGACCTCCAGGAGCCCTGGGCCAATACGGCCTGGAGGAAAATTCCTTCCTGGCTCCAAAGCTGCAATCGGCATTACCCTGGGCATAGGTAAAAGGTCTCCCTTGCTCGAAAGCCAGTCGAATCCGACTCTAGGGATGCGGTGCTCATCTCCGTTTCCAAGCCGAAGAGCCAGCGCTGTCCGAAGACTTCTCCGTGGTCACGTGGCCGGCATGACTAGATGGCCGAGGCGCATGGAACGCCATTACCTTCCCACCAAAGTGGTACCTATTTATATACTTGCAACTTCTTGCTTTTGAACTGCTAGGTTGGCAGGAGCCGGGACCAGAGATGGGAGCTCACTCCGTCATGCGGCACACTCGGGTCTCGAACTGCTGAACTACCAATCTTCCTGTCTGCAGTTCAGCGTCTTAACCACTTGAGCCACCGCAGCCCTGTACCCTGGGCATACCCCAGTACAATTCAACATGCTGGAGATGGTCTGTTGAAGTTGGCTAAAGGAAGGTATTCTCCTGGGTTGCAAACCTTACGTCTTAGTTTACAAATAGGAAGACAGAAGGTGTTTAAATTCTTGATTATTTGTGATTCAGCATTTTCATGTTGTATATTCCCTTTGAACTCATCAAGAAACCAAAGGCCTCTGTCTTCACCTTCTGGAATAAATGTGAAGTCTTTAAGGTGCTGCTGGATTTCTGTTTTGTTTGTCTAAAAGGTAAAGGTTTCCCTTGCTCGAAAGCCAGTCGAATCCGACTCTAGGGGGTGAGGTGCTCATCTCCGTTTCCAAGCCGAAGAGCCAGCACTGTCCGAAGATGTTTCCGTGGTCATGTAGCCGGCATGACTAAACACCAAGGCGCACGGAACTCTGTTACCTTCCCACCAAAGTGGTACCTATTTATCTACTTGCAATTTCTTGCTTTCGAACTCCTAGGTTGGCAGGAGCTGGGGCCAGAGACGGGAGCTCACTCCGTCATGCAGCACACTCGGGTCTCGAACTGCTGAACTACTGACCTTCCACAGCCTGCAGTTCAGCCTCTTAACCACTTGAGCCACCGCAGCTCCTTTTGCTTGGCTACGAAAAGACAAATACAGCTAACCCCCACTGGAATCCCTCACTTCTGTCATTCCGCAGAATGTGGAAAACAGAAATATTCAGGAGGGAACTTTAAAAAAAAAAAGAAGTTAAAACCACAGTAGATGGAATTCAGTCCGGGATGTCCCTTTACAATGGAACAGGACTGTAGTCATAAGAACATAAGAACATAAGAGACGCCAATGTTGGATCAGGCCAAAGGCCCATCCAGTCCAACACTCTGTGTCACACAGTGGCCAGAAATACCAGTGCCATCAGGAGGTCCAGCAGTGGGGCCAGGACATTAGAAGCCCTCCCACTGTTGACCCCCCCCCAAGCACCAAGAAGACAGAGCATCACTTGCCCCAGAGCCCCTAGCTATACCTTGTGGCTAATAGCCACTGATGGACCTCTGCTCCATATGCTTATCTAATTCCCTTTTGAAGCCGTCCATGCTTGTAGCACCCACCACTTCCTGTGGCAGTGAATTCCATGTGTTAATCACTCTTTGGGTGAAGAAGTACTTCCTTTTATCCGTTCTAACCCGACCGCTCTGCAGTTTCATGGAGTGCCCACGAGTTCTTGTATTGTGAGAAAGGGAGAAAAGTACCTCTTTCTTTACCTGCTCTTTCCCATGCATAATCTTATAAACCTCGATCATGTCACCCCTCAGTCGTCTTTTCTCCAAGCTAAAGAGCCCTAAGCGCTTTAACCTTTCCTCATAGGGAAAGTGTTCCAACCCTTTTATCATTCGAGTTGCCCTTTTCTGCACTTTTTCCAAAGCTATAATATCCTTTTTAAGGTGTGGTGCCCAGAACTGCACACAGTATTCCAAATGAGGTCTCACCATTGATTTATATAGGGGCATTATTATATTGGCTGATCTGTTTTCAATACCCTTCCTAATAATCCCCAGCATAGCATTGGCCTTCTTTATTGCAGTCACACACTGTCTCGACATTTTCAGTGAGTTATCCACTACAACTCCAAGATCTCTCTCTTGCTCAGTCTCTGCCAGTTCAGACCCCATCAATGTGTATTTATATTTAGGATTTTTGGCTCCAATGTGCATCACCTTGCACTTGGCCACATTGAACCCCATTTGCCATGTTGACGCCCACTCGCCCATCCTTGACAGATCCCCTTGGAGTGCCTCACAATCCTCACTGGTTTTCACCACCCTGAACAACTTTGTATCATCTGCAAATTTAGCCACTTCACTGCTTACTCCCATCTCCAAATCATTAATGAACAAGTTAAAAAGCAGTGGACCAAGTACTGATCCCTGCGGTACCCCACTGCTTACCACCCTCCACTGAGAAAATTGCCCACCTACACTCACTCTCTGTTTTCTATGAACTAGCCAGTTTTTGATCCATAAAAGGACTTGTCCTTCTATCCCATGATTTTTGAGCTTACTTAGGAGCCTTTGATGAGGAACTTTATCAAAAGCTTTCTGGAAGTCAAGGTAAATAATATCTATTGGATCCCCCTTGTCCACATGTTTGTTCACCCCCTCAAAGAACACTAACAGGTTAGTGAGACAAGATCTTCCCTTACAGAAACCGTGCTGAGTCTGCCTCAATAGGTTTTGTTCATCTATGTGCCTACTAATTCTTTCCTTAATAATGGTTTCCACCAATTTACCCGGTATCGACGTCAGACTGACTGGCCTGTAATTTCCCGGATAGTCCACTGCTATGATTACTGCGGACATCACCTGCTTTTACTGCACTGACTTAGACCTCTAATCTACTTTCTGCATCATTCACCTTTGCCTTAGGTTTGCTTTCTCCTTATTCTCTGATTCTGTAACCCCAGTCCTACTGCCTTTTGTCTTTGCTGCACGCTGCCTGACCGCCCTGCTTTACATCCTGTAAGCTGCCTTGAGTCTCAGTGGAATTTTTTAAACAACCTAATTAAAAAAAAAAATCCTGGCAGGCTTTTGTGGCAGACTTGACTCCAAGGGTGTGCTATAGAAAACGATGATGAGAGCTGAGTGAATACCCCCTCTGCTGCAGGGCTTTGAGGGGGCACCTTCTGAAAGGCAAGATTGTAAATCAGCACCACACGCACCTGGGGCAAGTGACAGCCACTTCCAGGCGACCCAACAGAGACATTTTAGTGAATTCGAAGACAAGTGATTCTTCCTCTCTCTGCCCTCTTTCAGCCCCCAACTAACAGGTAGGAGGAGGAGGAGAAGAGACTGGACTTTGGTGTCGTGGTTAAGTGCGCAGACTCTAACCTGGGAGAACCGGGTTTGATTCCCCACTCCTCCACATGCAGCCAGCTAGGTGACCTTGGGTCAGTCACAAGTTCTTTCAGAGCTGTTCTCTCAAGGGCAGTTCTCGAAAGAGCTCTCTCAGCCCCACCTACCTCACAGGGTGTCTGTTGTGGGGAGGGGAAAGGAGATTGTAAGCCGCTCTGAGTGAAGGGTGGGGTATAAATCCAATCTCTTCTTCTTCTTATACCTGGCCCTTCACTACCTGAAGGAGTCTCAGAACGGCTTACAATCCTTTCCCTTCCGCTCCCCACAACAGACACCCTGTGAGGGAGGTGGGGCTGAGAGAGCTCTTTCGAGAACTGCCCTTGAGAGAACAGCTCTGAAAGAACTTGTGACTGACCCAAGGTCACCTAGCTGGCTGCATGTGGAGGAGTGGGGAATCAAACCCGGTTCTTCCCAGGTTTGAGTCTGCGCTCCTAACCACCACACCAAACTGGCTCTCGTATCAATAGTTCCAGAAGGCAGCCGTGCTGGTCTGCAGTACAAGAGTCAAGTGGCACTTTAGACCCGACAACCTTTCTGGGGCACAAGCTTTCGAGAATCAAAGGGAAGGGAGTTTGGACTCTCGAAAGTTCATACACCGAAAATCCTGCTGGACACGCATCTAGCTGCTTCACAGGTGCACGCTGAAAGTCTTTTGCATGGACGAGTAAGACAGACATATATTTAGCCAGCTCCTGTTCACCGCGTCCGGTGGCACTGCTAAAAAAGGCAACACATACATTCGGAAGAACACTGACCCGCCGTTCTTCTTGGTCTTCAGGACCATGTCTCTGTGGCACTGAGGGCATTTCCGGACAGGATCGGGCATCGCCGGATAGATTTCTTCTTCTTGGGTGACGCGGGCCACCTCCCCAAAATACTGAGAGAGCGCCTCGTCCAGCCTGCGGAGGGGAAAAGTTGCAGACTGTCGCACACAATTGCCACAAAACGTGGTGGCGCGCCTGCTGGCATTGATGCCTGTGTGGGCTCACGTTCGGCATGTGCTCTGTCAGCTGCACTGGTTGCCGGTTGAGTACCGGATCCTCCTCAAGGTGCTGGTAATCACCTTCAAAGCCTTTTACGGCCTGGGACCGACATACCCAAGGGACCGCCTCTTCCCATGTACGCCTCGGAAAGCGTTACGCTCTTGAGAGTCAACACCTCCTGGCGATCCCTGGCCCAAAGGACGCCCGCCTAGCCTCGACCCGGGCCAGGGCTTTCTCTCCCCTGGCTCCCACCTGGTGGAACACGCTCCCTCCTGAGAGCAGGGCCCTGCGGGATCTTATGCAGTTCCACAGGGCCTGCAAGACGGAGCTCTTCCGCCAGGCCTTTGGCTGAGTCAGCGGGCGTCCACATACGCCGCCACCCCCCGAGGTTACGGTCTCCCACCCACCGATAACCGGCCATACCGACCTACATCAATGGGCTGGATTCCCCCTATGGCGAGCTATGAGTATTGATTTTATATGTTTACAATGCGTTTTAAAATTTTATTGTATTTATTGAAATGTTGTAACCCACACTGAGCCCGTTTACGGGATGGGCGGGATATACATGTGGAAAATAAATAAATAAGCTCTACGGCGGGGTCTTCAACGTAGCGCCCGTAGGCACCACGGCACCCGCCGAGACCTTCCCTGGCGCCCGCCAAGTGTTTCGAGAGCGGCACAAGGATCTTTGCTGTGTGACTGAAGGCAAGCTGCAGCAGCCATTTTGTGCCTGGTTTTGCCTCCCGTGGCAACCATTTTGTGGCTGGCTCAGCCTCCCGTGGCAGCCATTTTGTGGCTGCACCCACGACGCTGTGTCAGAATTTCAGAGGTGCCCGCAGGTTCAAAAAGGTCGGGGGGACACCTACTCTGGAGATACAGAGGCCCTTGACACACAGGGCAGGGTTCCTTGGGGCGAATGATAAGGGAGTCACTCTTCCTGTGGTGGGTGGAGCAAAGGCAGAAGAGGAAGAGATGGGATTTCTACCCCGCCCTTCACTACCCGCAGGAGTCTCAGAGCGGCTTACCATCTTCTTTCCCTTCCCTTCGCCACGACAGACGCCCTGTAGGTGGGGCTGAGAGAGTTCTTTCGAGGACTGCCCTTGAGAGAACAGCTCTGAGAGAACTTGTGACTGACCCAAAGTCACACCAGCAGCTGCATGTGGAGGAGTGGGGAACCAAGCCGGGTTCTCCCGGATTAGAGTCCGTGCTTCTAACCACTACACCAAGGGAAGCAGGGCCCAGTCAGTCAGATGCAGGAGTACAGAATTTAGAAAGGGAAACTGTTTTTACAAACGTGAGGCCAAACTACGCAAGGCGCTGCGTTAACACGTGCAGAACAGAAACCAAGGATCTGTTTGGGGCGGTGCATTAAGCTCCTTTAGGGAGAGAAGCAGGACAGAAGTATCAAAATAAAAATGTTTAAAAACACGGGGGGAGGGTTTGGAACGCACTTGTTTGCCTTCTCCACGGCCTCAATGAAGATCTGCTTGTACTTCCGGATCTGCTCCCTCAGCACCACCAATTTGTCCTTCTTGCCCTCGCAGATGAGCTTCAAGTCAGCCTCCAGCTCGGCCCGGAGGTCGGGCTTGGACATCTCGTAACCCATGGAATCATAGCCTAGGGAACATGCAGAGCAGCCTTATATGGAGAGCCCAACTGTTGGCATATCTGAGCTCGGAGTTGCTCAGTCTTCCTGGGAGGGGCTGTGGCTCAGTGGGAGAGCCTCTGCTTGGCAAAATTGCAAATATACCATTTCTCCAACATGCTTGAGAGTTGCCTATTGTGGCAACTCTGGCTGACCTTAACACATATTTCTTTATTTTTGCAGACTGAGAGATGGGCAAAAACAGAGTTTGCAATACAGAAAACAAATTTTGCTGTAAACAAATGGACGATTTGAGATACGTATAACCTTGTAAAAGAATCTGACTCATTCCAAAAAGGGGGGGGGGGGAGAAGAAGAAGAAGAACTGGAAGAAGAGGAAGAAGAGTTGGTTTTTATACCCCACTTTACCATAAGGAGCCTCAGAGCAGCTTACAATCACCTCCCCTTCCTCTCCCCACAGCAGGCACCTTGTGAGGCTGCTGGGGCTGAGGGAGCTCCGAGAGAGCGCTGTGACTGCCCCAAGGCCACCCAGCTGGCTGCATGTGGAGGCGCAGTAGGGAATCCAACCTGGCTCTCCAAATTAGTGTCCGCCACTCTTAACTGCTACACCAAGCTGGCTCTCATAGGAGAAAACTCATAGGAGACTGGGTTCCCCCCCTCCCTTCCTGAACTTGCTCCAGCTTCCACAACTCCGCGCCCCCGTCCTTACCTTCTACCAATCCCATCCCTAGGTGTCCTGGGAGAAACCTCTGGTCTGGCGTGAGACCCACGTACGTGCGGGACTTGATGGTCTCGATGTGCTCCGCGTGAGTGGCGTCCGTTCCTGGGAAAACGCACCTTCCGTTAAGGAGAAACCGAGGAGGGGGACTTGCAACTTCCCACCATCGCTTCTTCAGTTTTAATTTTTATGGGTTACATCACTTTACTGGCAGACCTAACAGCCCACACTGGCCTGATCTTGTCAGACATGGGAGGCTAAGCAGGGCTTGGCTGTGGTCAGTACTTGGACGGGAGACCATTACACTACATATGGAGCAGTGGTCCATCAGTGGCTATTAGCCACAAGGTCTAGATAGGAACTCTCGGTCTGGGGCAGGTGATGCTCTGTCTTCTTGGTGCTGGGGGGGGGGGGCAACAGTGGGAGGGCTTTTGGTGTCCTGGCCCCACTGCTGGACCTCCTGATGGCACCTGGTATTTCTGGCCACTGTGTGACACAGAGTATTGGACTGGATGGGCCATTGGTCTGATCCAACACTGGCTTCTCTGATGTTCACTAAGGAAGGTGGGAGTCGCCATGCAGTGGCAGGCAATAGCAAACCCCCTCTAAATGCCTCTCGCCTTGAAAACCCCATCTGGTGGAACTGCAGAGGGTCCCCTTCAATGCTCCCTCTGAGCTGGTGGAGTATTGTGAGGAAAAATTCTGCCTTGTGAGCCACTACTGGCATTGAAGCTGTGAGTGAGCGATTTGGCTGCTGCATAAATTAGTCTGCTCCGGAGCCATCCTTCCTGAGCTCAGACAAAAATGTGTGAGCCGGGGAGTAAAAAAACTGTGAGCTAGCTCACACTCACTCAGCTTAGAGAGAACACTGGTCCCCGTGAGTTGGTTGCGACTGGACAGCCTACTTCACTTACCTGGAGCTAGTTTCTGAAAAACAGTCTTGAGTTATTTTGAAGAAAATAGACAATATTCTGAGAACAGGATTCCCTGTGCAGAAATTAAACATGCACACCCCTGAGGACACGACTAAGTGGGATATGAGCTGGGACATGGGTTTGAATCTGGCTACAGTCATGCCCACAATGAGTTCCCAGCTGGCCTTCCGGCTCCCCATCGCACCACCCACCACATCTGTACATACTTCTGGTGAATAGCCACAGAATCTACAGCTCCTTCCCCCTCTTACTAATCCTCTAGGTAAAGGTTCCCTTGCTCGAAAGCCAGTCGAGTCCGACTCTAGGGATGCAGTGCTCATCTCCGTTTCAAAGCCGAAGAGCCAGCGCTGTCCAAAGACGTTTCCGTGGTCATGTGGCCGGCATGACTAAATATCAAGGCGCACGGAACGCTGTTACCTTCCCACCGAAGTGGTACCTATTTATCTACTTGCAATTTCTTGCTTTCGAACTGCTAGATTGGCAGGAGCTGGAACTAGAGATGGGAGCTCACTCCGTCATGCGGCACCCTCGGGTCTCGAACTGCTGAACTACCGACCTTCCACAGGCTGCAGTTCAGCGTCTTAACCACTTGAAACAAGAATCCATTCCACACCATGTTCACTGCAAAGCTCTCCATGGTGAAGAACAGGAAGAAAACCCTGACATATTGCCACAAGTTCAGGTAGGTTCTTTGGACTGCTCAAGAGGAGTTGGCATGCATAGAAATGAACCCCTTTCAGAGCAGGCGGTTACGTGCTGCCCTTGCGCTGCTGAACACGGTACTGACCGATGCCATGTTTCTCCATGAGGGAAATGAGGTCCGCTTCCGTGAGCAGCTGAGGCGGGCTGGTCTCCCCATCAATCATTTCCACGGTGGTGGGCTGAAAGCGAGACCCCTGTTCGTATACGGGGATAACCTGTGGAGGGTTTTGTCAGGAGGAGAAGGAAGGAAGGAAGGAAGGGGAGAGAAACATGGTGAGACCGGTTTCACGGGAGGCAAATGAAGCTCAGAGAACTGTGATGTATGGGGTGGAGGTGCAACAGTTTCAAGTGACAGCAATGTCCTTCCACCCTCTACATTGGACAAACAGGCCAGTCCCTGCAACAAAGAATAAATGAACATAGATCTGAAATTAGAAACCACAACATTCAAAAAACCAATGGAAGTACATTTTAACCTTCCAGGACATCAGTTGCTGACTTCAGAGTAGCAGTTTTCTTACGAAGGAATTTCAAAGGGAGATTAGAAAGAGAGACTGCTGAATTGCAACTGGTAATGAAGCTCAAGACAATGCATCCTCCTGGACTGAATCAAGACCTAGATTTCCTGACATTACCAATGCTGATTTCCCCATGCCTATGACCCCTGTGCACATCACACCTAATCCAATCACTCCTGCTACTGTCATTTTGCCTGCTATTGTCATTTTGGCATCTGAAATCACTCCACCCTCCAAGATATAAGGACAGGTGGACTAGCTGTATCCAAAGAAGTGAGCAGTGACTCACGAAAGCTCATTCCCTGTCCCAAATTAGTCTTTAAGGCGCTACTGGATTCTTGCTCTTTTCTATAGTTTCAGGTATTGTCAGGGGCTAGTCACTGGGAACACATGTGGCCCATCTGGAAACAGTGACATCGGCTGCCGGTCAGTTTCCCACTTCAATTCAAGGCGTTGGGTCATGGCCTTTAAAGCCCTTCATGACCGAGGACCCACAAATTTGAAAGACTGTCTCCTTCCATGTGTCACTGTGCGCCAGCTACGGTTGCCAGGCAGCCATCTTGTTGGCCCGTCTGGCATCAACAGGAGCCCAGGCCTTTTCCACTGCGAATTGGGCTCCGTGGAATGGAGTCCGTTTTATTAAAAATACACCAAACCAGCCTTGTCGATTTGCTTTCCCAGCCAGATAGAAAAGAAGACTGAACTGCTACTCCTATAACCTATTAGAGAGCAACTGAGCCACCAACATGAGACAGAGAGCAAATACCAGCCAATTTGAAAAAAGAAGGCTTCTAGCCAGATAAAAATAATGACTGGTTGCTACTACTAGAAATTAATTAATTTGCTCGCTCCTAATTCGAGCACCTGCAATGGAACTGGAAGTAAGTTTAAAATCATTCAAGTTAAAAATTATTGACATTAAAAAATTGTAACAAAACTATTTCCTAAGCAATATTGTAAAAGTCTTAATAGATACACAAACTGATGTTCATAAGAATAATTAAATATTGTCAATTTTATCACAGTGTTTCTTTGTTTGATAGTAAGTTCCTCTGGAGGGGCAACAACAGGGCAGAGAGGCCAAGGCCTTCCCCGGAGAAGAATGTAACAAGAGCCCTGCTGGATCAGACCAGTGAGGGTCCATCCAGTCCAGCATCCCGTCTCACACAGCGGCCAACCAGTTCCTCTGGAGGGGCAACAACAGGGCAGGGAGGCCGAGGCCTTCCACTGAGAAGAATGTAAGAAGAGCCCTGCTGGATCAGACCAGGGAGGGTCCATCTAGTCCAGCCTCCTGCCTCACACAGGGCCCAACCAGTTCCTCTGGAGGGACAAGAACAGGGCAGAGAGGCCGAGGCCTTCCCCCGATGTTGCCTCCTGGCACTGGGAATCAGGATTAGTGCCTCTGAATGTGGCAGTTCCCCTCAGTTACCTTGGCTAGTAGCTCTTGATAGACTTATTCTCCATTTATTTATTTGTTAAACTTTTATCCCGCCCGAGGCCAGCTCAGGGCGGCTAACAACAGGTAAAATTCCATTTTACATATGGGTAATAAATACAACTTTAAAACACTACATTAAAACCAGATATAATAATAAAATGCTAATCTCATGCGTCGGTATTGCGGGTCTGTTTCAGATGCTGTAAAATACTTCAGACATCATAAGGGGGGGGGGAATTGGCTTGGGCAGTTAATAGGGGTCCCAGCGGGTCAGGGCTTTTTGCCATATGATGTCAGTTGGCATTCCTGATGGTAATAACAGTGGGGGTGGGGGTGGCGGCTCCAAAGGCCTTGCGGAAGAACTCCGTTTTGCAGGCCCTGTGGAACTATAAAAGGTCCCGCAGGGTCCTAATCTCCTCTGGGAGCTCATTCCACCAGAGTGGAGCCACCACCGAAAAAGCCCTGGCCCTGGTGGTTGTCAGCCTGGCCTCCTCGATGCTCGGGAGGGCCAGTCGATTCTGGGTCCCCAATCGCAGCACTCTCTGGGGTACATATGGGGAAAGGCAGTCCCTCCGGTCTGTCTAATCTATCTAGAAGAAGATATTGGATTTATATCACGCCCTTCACTACCCAAAGGTGTCTCAGAGCGGCTTACAAACTCCTTTCCCTTCCTCTCCCCACAACAGACACCCTGTGAGGTAGGTGGGGCTGAGAGAGCTCTTGACAGAAACTGTTTTCCACGAACAGCTCTCATCAGAACTATGGCTTGCCCAAGGTCATCCAGCCAGGTGCAAGTGGAGGAGTGGGGAATCAAACCCGGTTCTCCCAGATTAGAGTCCGCGCACTTAACCACTACACCAAACTGGCTCTCTTCTAAAGGTGTTTATTCCTGTGGCAGCGAATTTCCACATTTTAATCACTCTCTGTGTAAAGAAGTCTTTCCCTTTGCTGTGTCACCTTATCGCTCCACTTGTCATACGGATAGACCTCCAGGTAGTTTCTGGCCAAGATCATGAGCCCGTGAGCCACGAAGCGTTCGTTGGCAATATCGATTTCCACAGTCGTTTCCTGTCCCTTGGCATCTTGGGAGCAGCAAGCCAGGAAGTGGCGCACGATGAACTCGTAGAGTCGCTGCTCGTTCCCCTGGTGGCAGGCATGCAAAACAAAAGAGCAATAAGAAAAATGCACCGCAGCCCCACAAAGATTCCATCCTGCTTTACCTTCGTTCTGAGACACAATTAGGATATGGCCCAAACAGGTATGATGTCAGACTCTCAGAGAAACCAGTTCTCAACACCATTCACCTCTAGGAAGGATAAGTTTATTGAGACATCGATAGGACCCAGCCTGTACACTGCGCTGTGTTAGAACTGAAGATGGAGGCACAAAAGCGATAGATATACAAGGTTCAAACGAGAGCCCTAAAAGGCTACGAGCCAATCACCCCCAGGCAATGCTCCCTCTAAGCTGTGGAGTCTTGTGAGCAAAAATTCTACTTTTGTGAGCTCCTGGCATTAAAGTTGTGAGTGAGCAATTTGGCTGCTGCCTAAATTAGTTTGCTCTGGAGCCATCACTTCCTGAGCGAAGACAAAAATGTGTGAGGTGGAGGCTAAAAAACTGTGAGCTAGCTCACACTAAGCTGAGAGGGAACACTGCCCCCAGGTACTCCACCCGCTCAAACCAAGGGCTCTGTGTTCCCACCTTGGTGACATCCCCCCCATCCTACAGACAAAAGCCAGACAGCGGAAGATGAGACCCAAGGCCCAAGGCCGGTGGATGTTCCCAGGCATGATAAGCAACAGTCCGTTTGGAAGCATTTAAAAGTGAAAGTATGTGGAGTTGACACTCTCCTGTTCCCCCCCCCCATCACAACGGCAAGCAAGCAATAAAATGTAGAGCAGAGTTTGAAATTTGATCTCTCAACCTGTTCAACCTCACAGGGTTATTGTGTGGATAAAACAGAGGAGAGGGAGAATGAAGGGCCGCCTACTCCGGACCCACTAGGGTCATCTTCGGGAGCCCTGCCTCAGGTGCCCCCACCTGAGATTAGGCGGGCAGCAACCCGGGAAAGGGCCTTCTTTTTTTTTTTTTTTTTTTTTTT